CGTATACTGATTGTCGAGGCTTGATTGCTCCGTAACCGAGAGCACTCAAATTGTAGTAGCGTTGATGCCTGAGTCTGGTTGACAACCCCCCGAGACCTCCGACGTGAACGATGAAGAGGGGCATCGATACTCTGCATTGCGGCATGCCTGAGCCGTCGTTCAGCGGCAGTTGCAGTAGTGGAACCGAAAGCCGACCGATGCGCTTTCATCTCTCGACCGGGTTGTCTTTTCAGTGATTGTCGCATGTGTAGTTTCGAAAAGAAAGCTCTCGATGACGATCGACGATGGCAGGTTGGTCCGGGCTGCGGGCAAGCTGGAGGAGGCGGAGCCCCTCCAGAGGAGGGCGGTAGAGATTGGAGAGCAGGTTCTCGGACCCAACTCCCCCGACCTTGCCACCTGGGTCAACAACCTGGGGCGACTGCTCATGGTAAGAAGGAGAAAGAATACGAATAGAAACATCGTGAGAGTTTAATCGTTTCGGCAGTGTACTGGTCACGATAATATCTTGTGGGTGTATGCATAGCAACAGAGCAAACCACCTCCATGACAACAGCGTCAGTCGCCACGGACACCAAACAACAACCGCATCCGTTCTACTTCCACCTGCACCAACACCAAGAATTTGCGTCAACAACAGCAGCAACCGTCGCTCACTACCACCTACACCCGCAACACAAACGTTTTGTTTGTTTTTTCAAACGACCCCAGGCGCGCAAGAAGCTGGAGGAGGCGGAGAAGGTGCAGGAGAGGGCCGTCACTATCGCTGAGAACGTGTACGGGCCTCACCATGCCCAGGTATGACGTAGTCCACGCCCAGGATTTCTCTCTTAGCAGGCAAACATACTGGATAGAAGTACACAATTGGCTGAGTTCGGTTGGTGTGTAAGTACCCCGCCCTGGTCTTTTTTCGTACTACACTTGCTTTCTTTGCGTAGGCAGTCCCGGGTATAGAAACACTAATCAACACTCACGCAGGTGTACACTGAATATAGGGGTCCTAGACTGCTGCGCGCCAAAAATGTTGTCTCTCTGCACGACAGGAGTTGCCACAATCCATCGTGCCAACGAATACTTGCATCTCTTATCTGCTTTTTGCTACGTGTCGTCCTCCAATCGCAGGTTGCGCGTGCGCGCAAGAACTTGACCAAGGTCCGCTGGGCCCTCGGCAAAGCAGGGCGCAGCCGCTAACTAGCTTCATGAACCGCTGTGTGCATCTTCTTCTTCGAATCAGGGGACAAGAGCTTGCTGTCCCCTACCTGTCGAACCAGGGGACAAGAACATGATGTCCCCTACCTGTCGAGGAGACAGGCCTGACAGGACGATGCGTACGCTCCCATTTATTCCTCCCTGTCAGCGGGACAAGTATTCGTGTTTTTCCTGGGCGGAAAGGGGGCGCCAAGGAGCCCCCCCCCCTCCCCCTCCCGCCTCCGCCGTTTACCCCCCTTCGTCCAATTCTACATGCTTTATTTTCCTAGCATTGGGCATGGCCGTTTTCTTTGGGGTTTTTTGTTTGTTTCGGCTCTTTGAAACTTCGGGCGTTCGTTACTTCTGATTCTCCGGTGCCGTGCGTGTTGTATATGTGCATGGTGTATGTTTTTGTTTTTTTCTGTCAAGATTCTGCTTGTGGTTTTTCGATTGTTGTAGCCAATTTGGTTTCCAAGAAGAGGCAGAGAGAGAGATCGATTTCAGGGTATTGATTGTCTGTTTTTTTCGGCGGGTTGTTGCCCTGTTGCCAGAGGGTACAATCGAGAATGAACGAGACAGGAACGAACGAGAGTACACCTTTTTCTATCTTGTCTGGCCGCTTATCACGATGAAATTATCAACAATTTTATATTAAGAGAGTAGGGGAGTACGTTGATGTTTTTCTCTTCATGCCTCGGTCTTCCCCCTTATTTGTTTTGTGAGCGGGGGAGGGGCCGAGGGCGGAAGAGGAAAGAAACAGGCCTGCGTTGCCTCCGTCTTTTTTGTCTGTTTTTTTCACGACAGTCTCGTTTTTTTTTTTACCACAATAGGTGGATTTTAAGTTGTCCTCTTTCTTGCGTGTGGTTGCTCGTGAAAAAACAAAAAAAAAGATGAGGCGGATCCTGGCGTTCTTGGCTATCTGGTTTGCGTGGGATGGCATGGGAACCAACACACCTTATGTGCCACTCCCGGCGTTTATGGCTCGTACGGACGTGCTTAGCCTTGCTTGGCATTCGCATTCGCGTATTTGCATTTTGCGGGCGTTTTTTTTTTTCGTGATTGTTCATGCGTGTGTGTATGGGTTGTCATTTTCACCTGGTGCTTCTGATCTTCTTGATCAGGGGGTACTTTATTCGCCGCTTTTTGCTACAAAGAGGTGTGTGTGGTGACGTTTCCATGTTGTCTATGCCGGTAGACGAGGGGTGCTCTTCTGCGTGCTTTGGCCGTCGCCATGCTCGCTGACGAGGTGGCTTTCGCCTGTTCATGCTCGCTGGTGAGGCGGCTCTCGCTTGTTCAGCCTGGCGCTCCCGAGTTCCGTGCAGTCGGAGGGTTCCGGTCGGTCGTCGGTACACACCAAGCGACACATGGAGTAGCTGTAGCGTGGTCGGCGCGGGGTCGTCATCATTGGCACGTTTGGCCTGGTGTGTGGTACGCCATTGCTCTTGCAGCCAACAAGGAAGTGGGTGGTTGGTGACTCGAGTTGTTCTCGGCAGAAGCGCNGGGGGGGGGGGGGGGGGGGGGGGGGGGGGGGGGGGGGGGGGGGGGGGGGGGGGGGGGGGGGGGGGGGGGGGGGCGGGCGTCGCGCCCTTGATATGATGCTACGGAACCAAGGGCATGGACACGGTCAACGACCAGCCTGTATGTTCGCCGTCTTACCTGGAACCAGCCAGCTCGCCGGCGCTGCCGTTGGGTGCGTTCGAGTTCCACCGCGGTCTACTCGTGTCACTGCTGTGCAGATGAATCGCGTGCTGTGTATTTTTTTTTTTTAAGTAAATGTGGTGCGCGGTGTTTATGTTTGCCCTCCCCCTCCCCCCCTGTTTCCATTGGTGGCAGCAGCAGCAAGCTGCTCTGATGCAATTAATAACGTGGGAACGTTCCGCGGCTTGCCTTGTTTTTATTTCCCTCTGTTACGCCCCGTCTGCTTGATCGGGACTTCATAATAAGCGGCCACGCCACAGCAGCAAGCAGGTGGCATTCATGATATATGACCAGATTCTCAGCATTTTGTCCTTGGCATAGATTTTATGGGCCGAGGACGGGGGGAGGAGGCAGAGATGTATACGCTACTTGTACGTTGCTGCTGTGGTCAATGGGCGGGAGGAAGTAAATGTAGGTGGAGCGCACTGGTTTGTGGTATTCATCAGGATGCGCTAGCCGGCTGGCCAATAAAACATCATGCCAGTTTAGGGTGGGACAAGGTGGAACGCGAGAAAAGCCCTCGACAGGGGGGCTCGTCTGTGCGTGTGTCTCGTTTGTTGCTGTTTTTGCTCTGAGCATCGACCGCGCTGCTAGCTGCTACTACCCGTCACTACCAGTTCACAAGGAGGTTGGTTAGGAAGCGAGGGCTTGCTGTACGTTTGCGTCTGCGCTGTACGTCGACCGCACTGACTGGCCTACCGGCGGTAACACCTAGTCGTATATTTTAGAAAGAGAGGCGTTATTTCGTTCAAGGAAAGAGGGGGGGCAGGAACGCGTTCGGTACGTAGTACTCGAACAGACAGGGGTGGGGGAGGCTCGCAACAAAGCACAGTCACGGAATATAGCTTGGACACGGACGCTCGAGAAGGTGCCAACGGTGTTTGGTGCTCAGAAGAACGAGAGGCAAGCCGACTCGAGATCAAAGAGGTTGGATTTTCAGCTAGGCGCGGCCAGCGAGCGCCTGTCTGTCTGGTTGTTGGAATGATTGGATTGAATTCGTGTGGATTTCTCGAGTGGGTTTCGTGTTGTGAAAAAAGGCAGGGTGGGGGGCGGGGGGGTTCGATGCTCGTTTTTTTTTTTTCATTTCTTAGATGATCTTCCTCGGATTGAGTCGTTCCAAAGGGGTGGGCCGCAGGCGTGTCGAGGAATTTCCCAACCAGGGGCGCCCTCAAAGCATGGTGCGGGACAGACGGACGGGCGTTTGTGGATATGATAACGACGCCGAAGCGAGGGTGTGCTCTTTAAAGGGCAAAAAGAAAGACTGCGTCTTTTTACGGTACCTTACACGCGGACTGTTACGTACTTGTCAAGAACAGGACCTTTGTTTACACGCCGACTTTGAATGAACGGGGGTTGCGTCGATTCAACGAACGGTTGTATAGATAACGCCCGAACACGCGGAGTTCGTTGTGGGCTGGTATGCAGTTGACTTCGTGCGTGGATGGGCAGGCTTTCTCTTTCTCTCGTTGCCGGTTTTGCCCTACGCGGGCAGGACGTTGAAGGAGGGAAGGATGGATACGGCGGAGGAGATGAAACCAATGTTCTGGTGGGGGGCGCGGGGGGGGATGGGGCAGAGTACTGCCCTTTCGTTCGGTAGATGTGGCGAGTTAGGTGTTGAAGTTATCAACACGAGGAGGACGGAAGTAAGTCTGCCAAGGATCACGGCCGCCCGCGACAAAAAAAAAAGAATTGCCCAGCGAGGTCAATCAAGAACGAGAGTCGGGCCAATCAAGAACGAGAGCGAGCTTGTTAGTTTCTAATCTATCCATCTATGCGTGCGTATGCGTATCTGTCTTCGTTTGTTTGGTTTGGTTTGGTTTGGTTTTCCGTTCCCTGTCTTGGTTCGGTACTGGTCTAGTCTATCTACTCGGTTGGACTGATTTTTTTGTGTGGGTCGGGAAGGGACGGAATCCCGCTACTCTCGGCGTCGTCGTTATTTGTTGATTCCTTTCGTACAGCAACAACATAGTCTATATATGGTAGGTTGCCTAGCTAGCTGAAATATATCAGGTCTGTCTGGTCTGTGCGCGCGTTTTGTGTTTGCATGGAAGGTGATGATGATGACGTTGAAAATCAACGGACGGGGGGTGGAATGAGAGGGGGGGGGTTGCATCGGGGGGTAACCAATCATTACACATTATAACGAACGGACGCGTAGAGAAGAAGAAGCACATGGACGCCACAACGAATGAATGCAGATTGAATGGCAAGGGGGGGGCTACGCATGGTGTTTTTGTTTTGCCCTTGATGGGGGCGGGGGCTCGGTCTCGAAGAGTGGATGGAGTAGCCGCAAGAAATGCCCCGAGAGAGAGAGGTTGGTGGTGGTCGTGCATGTATGTGTATTTGCGAGAGCTTACTACGGGTTTTTCTTCATTTATGATATACATTCGATCTCCTCGATATTTACCTTCCTTGCCAAACCTCCCTCAAAATTTCAAACGTGTCGATCGTTTTGTGTACATGAACGAACACAAAGGAGGATGGGCGATACGACCGACGTCCACGAACGAACGGCAGTTACTCGCTTGCTTGTCGTTTTTTGCGTCACACATATGCACGTGCATCCATGTGTAGTTGCCACCCGACGCTCGTTGTGATATAGATAAAACTGTGTGCAGCTTGCAGGGAGAGAGGTCTCTCCTCAACAGCAGCAGCACCACAGTAACGGGGATGTAGAGTAGGTCGTCACCGTTGCCTGCCTCGTCTCTTCTCTCTTCGTGAGTAACAACGCTAGTTAGTTCGTCGTGTTTGGCAACCATCATTAACATCAGGTCATCATCACCACACACAGTAGTAGTAGTCCAACATCATCCATCCACCGTGGACTACTTCTTTTCCGATATATACATACACGCAGTTGATGGTCTAAATATGGATCTTCCACGCTCTCCCTTCTTCCCCTCGCTCCTCGACAAGCTTTTGCTTAGACATGGGTTGTAGTGAAGGGGGGGGTCTTTCTGGCGAGCAGGGCTAGACTCACCCTCAAGGGATGACCGAAACCTTCTTGCTGCTGCGCATATCCGCCGCGAGGCATGCGCGTGGTGGTGTAGTTGGGTCGGCACTGATGGGGTCAGGC